GTAAATTTTACCAAAGTTATTTTTAGACCAATTAAACCCGTGAAACTAACCTGAAGTTTGTTCCCGAAGAGGTCCGCACAAACTTTTACTCAGTATTACATATTCACCGGAGAGAATTCAACAGCCGCAGGAGCCGAGTGATAGGCTCCTGATCTGACAGCCGTCATCAAAATATTTTGAATTGTTCGGTTTGCTTTGAGGCAGTCGTGCGTGGACTTGATGACGTTTTCACCAATCGATTAAAATGTGCGCACGTCTCAGGAATGAGACCTCTAAGACCGTTTACCTCTGAAAGTTACTTTAGTGATATTTACTTGTTCAGGCAGACGCCCTCAGTCCCATTATTCTCTCTAGGCTGCGTTCATCTCAAAAAAGGCCTTTGAAACTTTTAGTATTTTACTCTCCCAACTTGCGTTTAGTAAATAGCAGTTTGTTTATTCATCAAACACGGTTTGACGATCTATGGTAAAAGTTGGTCGCTATGGTTACGAGATACTGACAACGTTAATAGTCATGAAGACTCATTTTCTTCAGACCTCTAGCATGTAAATTACATACCTTCGCTCTGTTTTTTTTTCCTTTCTTAGCATAAACTTGAATTTCTGGGAGGGGGTGGTTGGGTAGTGGGTGGTAGACCTGGTGCTTGAAAGATTGAGAAATCAAAAGCAAACACTTTATATTAATCAAGTAAACTAATATCAGCAACTGTTTTTATCTGTGTTATTGATTATCCTCCCTTACAACAATCCCTTACTACTGCATTTTTTCTCAAAAATGCAGGAGCGTGTCTTGTGTATTTTTACTTGGCTAAACTTCTATCGTGAATGAGTAAGTAACAGCAGGTCAAACACTCAAGTTCTTATTTTGCACTGTAGGATGGTCAATAAAATTGGCTTAAAAAATTGGTTCACAAAAAATTAAAGTCATCTGAAAAGGATGATTAAGGTATCAAAGCGTCGCCCATGACTCTGTTGCGTGACACTGCATCAACACGACTCACCTACTCAGAACTGTTTTCAAAGTATAACGCACCCGGAATTAGTGAGAAGATGACAAGGTCAGACTTTCACCATTTCAACTACTTGAATGAATATTTTTAAATAATGGTGACAAACAGAAGCGAGTACAACGCTATAAATGGCTTTCAAAAGCTGGTCTTTCTTAAATCGATAGAAGCAAATAAAGAATGATGAGCACTGTTAACACTGAATATCTACACATTTGATTTTCTTAGAATGAAGCTTTTCCTATAAAAAAAAATGAAACTAAATTGAAAGCTTACGGCAAAACAATAAAAACGAACCTGTAGTAAACACAAAATCGCGAATGTTTCTTCTTTTAACGATTGTCACAAAATAGATACCAGTACCCGGGCGAGAGATACTGAAGGCCAGATCTGGCAGCCAGTCCCTCCAAGAGGGCGCCCAAAGCGTGAAATCGCATGGTGTCTAGAACGATACCCCTCAGGGATCCCGGGGGCTTCAAAAAGTAAGCGTTCTCCTTTGTCGAACGCATTAAGCTATCGAACGCGAGGTTTTGGAGAAAATGTTGACGATTTTTGGTCGAGATATTGTTAAGCGAAGGTCTTGGATATTAGCCTTTTAGTAGAAGCGCTTTTACAAATAGAATTAATTCCAAATTCTTCAAACATGGGAAGGAAGAATATGTCTTTTTTCAGAGGACAAAAAAACTCTCGAGAGAAAGATATCCTTAAGTCTTTGGCTTGAAGAGTACGAAAACTATTTGTGGGAGGCTTCCACGCTTAATTTCGGTCCTTAAAACTCCGAAAGAAATTAACGATTAAGAAAGAATGACGTAGCCATGTAAAGCCTGGTTAAGATGTAAGTAGGAAACGTCAACTTCAGCTGAATGTGAAATGCGCTGCAGACAACAAAAGCCATTTTATTGTTAAAGAGTGCACAAAATTCATTTAGCGCGTATACCAATATTTCAATTTATCGGGGAAAAAGCATCTGGCTAGCTTAATTGTACAGAAAATAAATAAACCTGGGGCGCTAAAGATAACATCAAAGCAGTAACATGATTTAATCTATATAATTAATCGTTTGATTTATTGTTTTATTTAGCCTTTAGTCATTATTAGTCTTCTTTGGCTTGCCATTGAAAATAACTTACGATGCACAATCAGTCTATTTTGTTTACATGCAGGTGCAGCCAAATGCCAGTACGTCAAAATAAGGAGAAGATTCACCACAGTAGGTTTCATTCTGATTCCCAGTACAGGTTGTAGTTGTTTTTTTCAAATTCATTTGTTCTGATCCTAAACTCCCCACTACCATAGAAATCACCTATCTCCCTACACCCCACATTTTTCGAACTTGACTATCGCAAAAAAATGATACTTTTAAACTTTCTAATCATTCGTCACTTCCACATTTCCCATAATGCAACTTATTTGTCCCCCAAAAAAAAAATATTGCATAACCTTTGTTTTTCATTTCTTCTGGGTATCACAGCCGTCTAAAGAGAAATTGAAAACAATGCTTATGCAAAATTTTGGGGAGCAAACAAGGTGCATTATGGGAAATGTGAAAGTGGCGTATGATTATTATTACGATTATTATTATGATCATCGTGGCTATACCAGTGACGTGAAGATCTAACTTCATGACTTCCTCCCTCTGCACACAAGCTTTGCTTATCCTCAATAATACGTCTCGGATTAGAAGACAATAAGACGTTTTTGAGCGACGCACGTCAACCGAAAGTGGTCTTTTTTCATTTTTGGACGGTGATTTTGAGCAAATTTTAGAGGTAGTAAGTTTCTTCTGGTAGGCTGTGGGGTGAGTAGCAAACTAGTTGACTCAACACACGCGACTGACCCGAACACATGCGACTGACCGAACACAAACGAGCGACGAGAAATGGTGACGTCAACAATCATTTCTACTGGGACTCTGCGACATGTATTACGTATTCTACAGACTACAACGAATCACTTTAGAAAGCTGGTTTACTTACTTAGAACAAACGCCATTGAATCATAGTCAGCAGTTATTAAACGTCATTCACTGTCAACAACAACAGTCCCATTCAGGGCTACGTTCACCCGGACGATCAAACTCAAACTACTTTTGAAATGACTCCTAGGTTCAAACCTGTCACAAAATAAGAACTTATTAAACAACCCTAATAGCCTAAATTTGTGCAGATTACCATTAATTTTATGTAATAACCTCTTGAGGTAATCTTTGGAAAATGCAGGTTCTCAGTCGCGGGTTTTTACTGTATTTCAGGGACTTGTCATGTCACCAGCATGGCATCCACCAAGTCTCCGAGCTCGTATGGAGGTTGATAGCCCCTGTTTCACTCGTTCTTTAATCTTGCTCACTCCGATATTTAATTGCACCCACACATATTAAACGGTTTTAATTGTTATACTCAAAGTGTTTAAAACAAATACATGTAGTCATGACTGACCAAGTTGTCATGAGAGTGTGCAAAGATCATTCTTGGAGCAAGGTCGCGAGGACGCTATTCCCTCGCTCGATCGTTCGAGCGAGATTTTGCCCGCTACAACAATGACTAGTATAATAATTATGCTTTCGTGGAAATATTTCAGGTCAACGGTGATTTTAAAATTATCCCCGCTGATAAATGGGCAAATTAAAGTGATAATCTCTCTTTACCTGTAATGACGACAGTAACTGTCCTTGAAATACAATACAACACACGTGCTGAGAATCAAGTTTGGAAACCTCTTCATGAAAAGTTCCCTGATACTGAGCAGTGAATGTTGTCTTCTACCTTTGAAAAACGTAAAAGGGTAAAAGTTTGTTCCCCGTGTTTCTTCGAGGAAAGGTGACAGAGGATTGATTAATTTGCAATTGCGGGTCTGGATTAATTTGCAATTCAACGTATTATTCTCTCTTTTTGTTGTCAAACGCGATAAGCAAGCCAAAAATCTCTATAGCCATTTTTATCATCAGTCGTAAATACCTTCTACTGTAAAGGAGTGTGGTAATTTTAATAATAATAATAATAATGATGATGATGATGATGATGATCATGATGATGATGATGATGATGATGATAATAATAACAATTGTAAATCTCAAGTATTAAATAATTGAAAAATTAACAAACGAGATTAAATGAATAAATAAAATCGTTTATCAGTGGGAAGTGGACGAGATTTGCATGACAGAGAATCCATGCTAACCCCCCTTCCATTTAGAATTTTTTTTTAAACAGTACCAGGTAAAATATAACCCGGATGTTGCGGAACATTTATTCATCTGGATTTTCAATAGTAAGATGTCTTTACTTCGCCGTCCACAAATTCACGAGTTTTCCTGCATGTACTTAAATTCAGATTGCTTTTAAAACTGTGTGAAACACATTTATATAAACCTGAGGCTAATTTTAAGGTCCACAAAAATTTTGCTGCCCTTTGGATTTCAATTATTTACATTTTTTTTGTTCCTTATTGAATCGTACAAAAAATAATGCTATTGGGAATCATGAGTGTTAAATGGTCTCTATATCGGAGTACCGGGGAAAGATGTCACATTTACTTGAACACACGTTTGTTTTGGCGGCACGACGTACATGATTTCACTCGTTCGGTCCAAAGCCACACGTCAAGATGTTCCAATTTGAAATGTTCAGGGAAACCGCATTATTATTTTTTAGGTATAGTGCGAAGTAAAGGAAATGCTTCGACCGATGCACAAAAATGCGTATTCAAAGCTCTAAAAGAAAGGCTATCAAGAGCGAGATCGATGTATTTTAGCTACATGTAAAATCCATCGCGTCTCAAAAAAAATCTTTTGATTTCAAATGAATACTTACATTTGTTTTGCTAAGTCTGAAAATGTTCTCGCGTTTAATGTAACAGAATGCTTTTTTTTTGTATTCTTTTCTCAGGCCACTTATTTTTATCCATTTATTTATTTATTTTGACAATATTCTACTTGAAGCTGCAGTGACCTTAGGACTGTAGAGAGTAGATAACCCCACAAACAGAAATATGTCTTTTACTTTTGATGCGACGAGGCAAGTGAATGCCTGAATGTGTAATCAGACACCTGGGTGCGCACGGCAGCTATAGTGTTCTGTTCTGGCTGACATAATATGACGTACATCTTGGGAGCAAACATACAACCTAGGAGGCCATAGGAACTCACTAATGTAGTGGCGCATGCCACAATGGCTCCCCTCCAGTTCTCTAATCCCACAAAGTCGACTGGGAAATATGCTACAGTAGAAAGAAGGAGCATGTACATAGCCAGACCAATGTACCTTGCCTCGTTGAAATTTTCTGGCAGTTTTCTGGCCTTAAATGCTTGTATAGTAGAAATCAAGGAAAGAAGAAAAATGTAGCAGTTGATTGCCACGTGAAGACCAAACCCACCTCTGGAGCTATGCGGCTGACACGTTAGGAAAATGGACTCGCCTCTATGAATTACCCGTCTAAGGGATGGTGGATCAAGAATCAGCCAAGAGGTCAAGAGACAAAAGACCACTCCGTTAAGTAAAACCATGTAACTCGCTTGAATTTTCGTCGTTAAGATGAACTGCTTTGTAGTCCTGTCGATGAGATTAGCGTGAAATACGCTTAGAATGCGGAGAGTTTTAATCATCAAAGAAGCCACGCATGTTCCCAATGCAGCGTAACTAAAACAACACCTCAAACGGCAAATCAAGTTGGTTGGTTTAATCAAGCTCAGACATGTTTGTGCAAAGAACATGGTTATAGAAAGTAGAAGAATTGCGCTTAGCTCACGACTTGAGGCTTTGACAAGAGGCGTTTCTCGGTATTTCAATAAAATAACGGCCGAAAACAGTGTTAGTATTACGCCAAGAGACACAAAGCCAGTTATAATTAAACCAGTGATGTCTGTTAACTTAATATTAGCAATTGGTAAATCTTCACATTTCGTTCGTTCACTGTTGGTTCTTTGAACTTTCGCACATTCTGAACAGTTTGAAGATCCAGGAAGCGAATTTACTGATCCGATGGGACAATTTGTACACTCCCAACAACAAGTAGTTGTAACAGTCTGCAACGTCCCAGGAGGGCATGCAAATGAACAAACTGAGGTCGGTATACTGGTCGAATTTAAAACACTGCTGCTCCATTTGATCTTATCATTGTCAATGTGGAGTCTTTTCTTGAAAGTCTTATCCCATGAGCCCACAATTACTTTCCGGTGTCCTTCATCGCCACTTCCAGATCGCTTTTGGAAGTTGATGATGTCATAAGACGAGATCAAAGGGTCACCGGCCTCGTCAAATTCAACCTTGCCTAGTAATCCTTGAAATGAAACGTTTCTTAAGTACAAATCGATATCAAGCGGTTTCACAGTTGCGCTAGTATCAGGACATTTGCCACCCGGAAGAAGACCATACGGTTCTACGCAGAAATATAGCTCATGAAGAGCGTGTGCAACGGCATACACTGCTTCAATGACATAAGGAAGGAAGGTATCGTACAATTTGGGAATTATTCGCCAAGACAATGTCGTGTTCTCTTTGCAGATATCAAAACCTTTAGATTGATTTACTGAACAATTCAATTCACCTCTCCATACTTCTTCCCACCAGTGCGAAAGGCGTTTTTCCTTCACATCCTTCCGGGCGAAAGTAGATAAATAGGATTCAAAGTCCTTGCTTTGGTAAAATCGGGGCTGTATTCCTAAGGATCCGTCTAGGATATTGAAGATAGTACGGACGTGCCTCGGTTGCTCAGATGCAAGGGCATCGCTTAAAATCCAGGTACGGTCGAAAATTTGCTGCTTTTCTGCTTCTTTTAAAAAACTTTTTCCATAGCCGCCAAATAGCCAAAGTACAATGACTTTAACTTTTCTTTCTCTCTTCAGCTTTGATATAATAATTTTAATCTTGTTCATATAGTTTAAACGCGGGATGTATTCTGACAGCGCAATGCAAAATGATTTTCGTGTAAACGATTCCTTTTCAAGAGCCCACACGCCATACCTGCCGTATGAGTCATCAACAGCAATCGCCCCGACATAGTTCCAACCGAAATATTCAAACAAATCCGCCATGGCACTCGCTTGCTGCTTGTCCGAAGGCACGGTCCTGTAAAAGTGCTTGTAAAATGGTGAGCTCAATTCCTCACTGGTAGCACCGAAACTGATGGCAGGTACTCCCGCAACTTTGAGCAGACTTCCCACTAACACAGAACTTCCAGAATCGCCAGGCCCTATAACAGAGATCAGGGGACTTACATGTCCTGGTGCCGTTTTATTTGGTGGTTGTGACGCCAAGAATTGTTTGGGGCATACATAGTGCGATTCCATATCTTTCACAAATTTATAAGTCGCATTCACAGCAAGGGAGGCGCTTTCACAGTAGTCATGTATGTCGTAGCCCAAAGTTATGTTTGGCAGTAGTTTAGGATCACTGTTTATCCTTTCAATGGCGTAAATCATAGCTTGCACATGTCCTAAACCGGGAGCATGAAAATCGCCGCAGTCCTCATTATTGGTACCTTTGTAGTGAAGAAAGAATAGGCCGCCCAGGGTAAAGTTGCTATGTTCTGGCCCTTGAATGTTCTTGCTGGAAATTTTGTTGTGATGTTGCGCTGTGACTGGGAAAAACAAAGTCAAGACGAAGAAGATTCCCAAAGGCTGGGTGTACTTCATTTTCCAGTACTTTAAAGTCTCCAAAATTCGTCTCTTCTCTGCTCTGACTATCTTTCGATTGTTGTATAAGGGAGCTCGTCAATTCAAAGCTCTCAGTTTTCTTTTTACCTTGACTACAGAGAAAATGAAAACATTTAAAAGAAGTTAGCGCTATCTTAATCAAAGGCCTTTGACTGGCTTTAGATTTCACCGAGTTTACAATCAACTGCTGATAAGGCATCTGATTATGGAAGCGCGCTTAATTAAAAAAGCTTTCTATTAAAGGAGGCTGACAATTAGGTGTTGAAAATAATGTGCAAACTGGTTCTTTAAGCTGTCCAAATGAACTAAGAAAACAGCTAGAATGAATGTCTCCATTTAAATAATTCAGCTCGGTTCCAGATTGAATAATCTCACAATAAAAGGCATCTTTGTGAAAATCAAATTGTGTCTTTGGTTTTGCTACTGGATGATCCTGTGAGGAGATCTCCTATTACATTATATGTTGTATTGTTATTGAAAATGACTTGCATCTTGGATTTTAGTACGAATCGTTATAAAAAACACTCAAAAGTGTAAAATTGCAAAACATCCAATTCCCCCCCCCCAAAAAAAATGACTCGAAGGCATGTTACTTCTGATCATAGCGACCCATCGTTACTTTAAGGTTTTATATCAAAATGTGTCAGGCATAACCATCCTAACGGAATAAAGGGCTATTTTACCGAGACTGAGTTGAGTTTTTTTTTTAAATGGCATGATTGTCAAAATTTTGTGAACCTATGACTTTTTATAAGTTAATGATTGTATTTATAAATAGTCTGTTAAGTATTTTAAATAGTCTCCCCCCCCCCCCCCAAAAAAAAAAAGAAAAAAAAAACAGACAAAAAGAAAGAAAAGAAGAAGAAGAGGAACACCTTCACACGTCACCCATTGTATCACCTGCTCCGATCCAAGATTCAATCGAAGCTCTCATTCTGGTTTGATCTATTTCAAAAATGTAGATTACCTCTTTTCAATTTCAAATTCAGGTGAAGAAAATAGTACTTTGGTCAGACATTTATTTGATTGGTCCAATTGGAAACTAAAATTCACAAAATACTAAATCTTACCCAAGCAGTCCATACTTCTTTAATCACACAACGTTAGCCATTTGTCTCCTTCTTCCTCCATTCTTTTCGCACTTATGGACCGTACTATATAATTAACTAAAACTTTTATTGCTTGGGTGAAAATGAGTATTTTGATTTTTCAGTAAATTAATCGATCGTCGTGAATTAACACCACTTTCAATTTCCTACACGAAGACATTCAAAAATTACGTAACGATATTGTTATTTTACATCTTTCTCTATCCAGCTCTCTGTAAACATTATAATCCTCCATGTTTTCTTTCTTTATTTAGTCCTTAAATGTATTTTCGTTTTTCTTTAATTAGTTTTGTTTTTAATGATAAATATATAATAAAAAAGCATCACGAAATTCTTAGTAAACCAGGCTTTGTTCTCTATGACGAACCCTCGGGAGCCCCATGCATCATGCAGTCACCCCACCGTTGAAATAATAGGGACCTTAAGATCCGAGGACGGCGACGGGCAGCGAAAACGTCCTTGAAAAAGTGAATTCGCGTTTTTTCAATCTTCATCGCGATTACTCCAAGTCACTAACTTTGTTAAATGTAGGTGAACCCTCTTAAAATTGAATTCCTAAGAACCATATCCAAGCTCAGAAATAGAGAGGAAATTTCGTCGTCGCTTGTGTACTTCCTCTGTAAAGCGTCGTAGTCGTGCAGTGACGGCAAAGAAATGAACAAAAAAGGGTGATACCTGCAAAATTGTTGTTTTGGTTATTGAAACTATTGCTTTTTTGACGTCCTCGTTGCAGTCGCTGTCGTCGGATCTTAAGGTCCCTAATTGATGGGAAGGGTTGTTGCAATGTCGTATGTCTTGTTTGCAAAATCATAGGAAATTAAGAGGCAAAGTTAATCAGATAATGAATATCAAGAAATTATCTCGAGTTGCTTATAGTGTTCAGATTTTTTCTGTTTTAAATGCCCTTGGATAGAGGACAATATATATTTTCAGTCTTAGAAAGGTCTTAGAATTTCAGACTGTCCATCGCAATAGTCTTTAGAAATCATACAAAGTTAGTCGAAAAGATTTGATAAGAATCTTAGGATGCGCGAGATTTATTTAAAGACGTCAAAACCCTACTATTTCGTTTTTGCTCATCACGAATCAAAATCGCCTGGCGATTCCGGATATGAGCCGAAAACTGGTACAGTACAGAGGCTTAAGAGATCAGAGAAGCAGCTTCAAATCGTAAACAAATGTATAGATGAATCATTCTACGAGAAAAGTGTTAATAAAAGTAACTTTTAATGTTAAGTTTAAAGTTTCTTACCTCTCTTGCAGCCTTCATCCAATCTTCGGCTTCAAATGGTGATTATAGCTTCTGTCGCTCTTTCATTAAGTCTAAATTGAACAAATACTTGGTGATGATAACAATTTGTGGACAGTGGACCTGACACTGAATTGGACCAATAACGACATCTTCACACTTTGAGATCTCACCTGCTCAATTCAAGTTCCTCATAAAGGACAGCAAAGATTATTATAAGATAAAAACAAATTACATTTGGACCTCATCTTACAGCCTTCATATTAAAAAAAAAAGTACACGCCACAAACTGAGGATCCTAAAATTGTTTAATTAAATTCCAGTTGAATCTTTCTTTCACGACAACTGATCTTTTATACTTTAACATTTGAAAGTTTTAAGTGAGTCTGTTTACTTTGTAATTTTATCGCTCGACAAATTACTCGTCAGTGATTCCCAGCCTCTAATGAAAAATTTAATTTCTTTTCCGTTTTATGATCAGTTTCGCTTTTTTGTTTGACCTGGCTTTTGCCATGTATACAATGATTTTGAAAAATCCAATGTGTCTGTTTCTCAGAATTCATCTCAGATGAAACAATACCTTTTTTCCTGCTGTTTTGTTAAAATAATCATACTTCCACAACTAAAAGAAAAAAGCCAGAATTTTAAATTGGTATCCCTAGAATCATGATTCACATTGCAATATGCCTTAGTTTGCTCGCATTAGAAGGCACAATGTGCTAAATTCTAAACACAAGTTAATCAAAACTAATAGTTGTTTTCTTTGATCGCTCTTTGCTATGTCAGCTGGCCATGGACTTTGTGCTTCAATTGTTCAAATGACGCTAAAAATGCTTTCCTCTTTTTTTTATTTATTTATTACTTCCCTGTCCCCAATTGATCAAAAGAGTATGTTGCAATAAAATGTAAGAAATAAGGTTATACAATGACGTTACGTCAATCGTGATTTATCTTATATAAAATTATTTAATTATGGTTATTTCTTCTACATTCTGTCGATAAAGGGTTTGTGTTCGATAACTGAATGAAGCAATAGACCCTATTGTTAAAACATCTCCTTAAAGCAGTTTGCTCATATATTGGAAATAACGGCCCATATCCGTCATTCTAACAAAGTAAATTGAAACGCTTACTGAGCCCTTACGCTCACAGAGCAATATGATTTAAATCTCGATAGTGCGCGCTTGAGTGAGGTGTCTGTTTGAAGAAAACAAAACATCGTAGGTTTTTGAGAAAAACTGATAACCTCTGACGTCCGCTTAATCATAGGGCCAGAGTCTGTTTAATGGCGACGCTTGATACTCTCAGGTTTCGCTGTAGAACTTTTATCACAGGCGTCCCAAGTTCACGTTACGAGTGCGTTATGTAAATTTACTTTCTCTCAAGAGAGTCAGCGTCGCGTTACAAACTATCGTTGAGACTTTGTATGTGAAATCAGTAACATACTGAGGTCTGCGAACGCTAAATATCATTGCTTTTATTTTTTTTTCTATAAAATAAATAAAGGAGACTTACCTTTGATGTATTGCTGTGTTTTTTGGTGTGAATTCATCGATTTAGTCGTTTTTTGTGGCATTTATTGTGTGACCCTTGTCACTCTCTTCACGGGAAAAAAAACCGACACCTACTCTCTTGTGAGAAAGGAGTATATTTCGGTAACACACGTGTAACGCGAGCTTGGGACACCTGTGGTTTGACAGGTGGAAAGTAGATCAATCAAGACTCAGGATTTTACAATCAATTTAAGTTTATTTAATCAATTAGTAGTATCATCTAATGTTAAATTTAATGACTACTTACAATCTTATCCAAAACGTCCTAATAATTTTCTTGACTATACGTTTTGGCTGATTTTTTTTTTTAAACCACCTGTCTCGCCAGCCTCTCCTTGCTGTTTCTCTTTTATTACAATTTCAAAAAGAATCATTTGAAAATATTTTAACATTACGTTTTATTATTACAATATTTTTTGGCCAGAATATGGTATTATTTAGTTTATACTATAATGTATCAAATTCTCGGAATTTTTTTTTACATCCAAGGGTCAAGTTTGCTTCATTTGAATGTTACTTTTATTTGAACTAAGATTTGATCTGCACGGTCTTCATGGTCCATGACCTCCAAATTGACACCTCTAGTCACTACCTCAAGTCACAGGGATATCGTGGGAATTTCTTTCTCATTCTTTTTGACATACTGATAACATGGTTAAGTAATTTTCAATGATATTGAAACTAAGTACATCGTGTTGTATATAGATATATGTATATGAGGTGTCTCAAAAGAAAACTTATAAGTTAGTACATTGCTTCTCTGAGAAAGAAGACTACTTAAAGGAACAACTTTTGCTTGATGTACCGGTTGTCACCATTACTTTTACTCCTACATATACTATGGTAATCGGAATACGCTCCTTCATTCACTCAATAGTGCATGGATTTTTTGCTAAGCATTTGATTAAAATGCCCTCTAGGAAAACATCACATGCTCTGTGATTTATCTTGCAATGTAGGTACAACATAACTTTACAGCAAAGGTTTTAGGGCTTACTCTATTCGATTCCCAAAAAGGCCGTCTTGACCCATATTTCTACTTTCTTTTTATATTTGTGGTGGTTACGCAATAAACGATCCATGAGCTATAGGTGCAGATGAATTACTTGTGAGCATCTTCTTCAACACGTCTCCCATTGACGCACCACGCAACACCTCTGAGAAAAACAGCTGCTCGATAATCGCTGGCTCAATTTTTCTCAGGGATGATAACATAAGAAGCAGTTTTCCGAAACGCGTCGGTTGGTTGGAGTACTGGGATTTAATATACTGTTCCAAGGAACTTTGTGAAGTATCCTGTAGGACTTCGATTTGTTGAGGCTGTGTAATGGGAGAGCCGTCTAGGGTGAAGGAAAAAACAATCATTAAAAACTGAATCATTGGATAATACAATTCTAGCGCTCTGATTGGCTTAGCCATCATTGTATTTGAGCCATTATACCATGCTTTCCAAATATGGTAATTGTACCTGTCTGTTCAAAATTAAAAACAAGCTGAAAATCGGTTGTTTTTACAAATCAAAACGGGAAGAATTCTCGATATTTTGTGGGCTTTTTTAATAAAACAATTATTCCACTCGCGCTTGTTGGATATGAGATGATTATAGCCAACGAGACGCGTATCTCTACGTAGTATCTCATATCCAACGCGCACTCGTGTAATAATTGTAAATTAATCAAATGATAATCCAAGAGAGTTTCTCCTACTCCCTCCTAAAGAGAACGTCGATATCAAATTCCAACTCGATAAGTTCTGAAGATGAGATCGATGTGAACTGGGGAAATACAATTTTGAACGAAGATGTGATCCTCGCAATGGCAATTTCAATTTAAGCAATTGCAAATAAACCCGAATTGTTTTACAGCTGCGAGGATCACTTCTTCATTTACGATTTGTATTTCCGCAGTTCACATTATCATCATGTTTCATTCCTTTCACGGGTTAAGATGAACTCAACAAATTTGCCTGCTCCCGATGCATGGGTTTTCATAGCTCAGATGGTAGAGCATTGGAGTGCTTGCGCAAAAGTCCCGACATCCTTTTTGGGTTTATTTGCAATTGCTTAACTTGCAATTACCACTGCAGGGATCACATCTTCAATTCATTTAAAATTCGATTAGTTTTGTCGGCCGCTCCGAATGTGATGTAAGAGTACAGCTTAACAGCGAGAACTCGGTGGTTGAAGAACACCCATTTAAATCAATCAGAAGAGAAAGGGTGATTATATTGCTTTCAGATTACGTTTTTGACCCACTCCACTTGCCATTAGGGAGCTTAAGCAACAACGTTTTTGAGCGATGCACGTCAACCAGAAGAGGCCTTTTTTCATTTTTTGACGGTGGTTTCGCGCAAATTTTCAGTCAAATCGCCTCTATAACAGTAAAGAAGCTAAGGAATACAAATTTTATATCATCAAGGCATGTTAAGAGGGAAAATACCTCACTTCCGGTTGACGTGCGTCGCTCAAAAACGTCGCTGCTTAAGCTCCCTATTGTGACGAGCAACCTAGTAAGCTGCAGATTAAAGCGATGTTTGAGTAATTTCGAAGTTTCAAGTGCAAACAGGAGCATTTATAAATAACTTGAATTCTTGACCAATGGAAATATACACTTATTTGCTTCAGCCATTCTAGGCCACGAAATTGTGTGTCCAAAACTAACAATGCTGAGTTTCGCTTTCCAGTTTTAAATGAAAAGTTACAGATGTTTTATCTTATCGTAGAGGTTTCATTTGCAACTGTTATTACTTGCTCAAGGAATCAAAGAGGATCTCACCTGTTCTAAACAAGACAATGCACTTAATGTGAAAATGTTCGGTCAAATCCATTCCAAGGGATCGAACTTTCTCCACCTGGTCCTGAAACAGCCTGCCGTACTCCATCCTCTTGAGAATAGTCTCCATGGAAACCTGCCTCGAATGTGTGCTACTTGTGGCGTACAACTGCTGTATGTACATGTGGATCGGGCTTCGTGCGCTCTCAAGCAGGTATAGATCGCTCCAAGCCATTTTCAACAGCGTAATCCGGTCGCTTTCCACGAGATTGTGAAATGTTGGCAGCTTTCTGGCCCAGTCTACCACAGAGAAGAGCACGTGGGCAGCTAACTCGTACACGACTTCAGAAGTTCCTTGTGGTTGCGGAAACATTCCCAGATGAATGTTACCCGGATTCGAAAGGGATGGTTGCAGTAGTGTGAAAGGCAGCAGACCCTGTGAGTAAAAACCCGACACATCACCGAAGTAGGGGAAAGAGAATCCTGAAAATGGCGAGAGTTTGGTTGACTGGACAGCTGTAGGAAGAATAGACGAAGAAACAAATCGTTAAATTAATACCTTTGAAAAAGGAAAAGAAATAAACAAATGTGAGATAAATCGAGGTTGAAGTAATTGTTTCGTAATTATAAATGCATGAGTATGCATGTCGATAAATGGACTTCGGGCGTAATAACGTCATGACAATTTCTCTGGGTCACCATATACGCATGCACATTAAGGTTGGACTAAGCTGTTATAGCACTTTGGTCAATGTCACCTTCTGGTAAAACTTCTTTAAATTTTCTCTTCCTCTGAATGCTAACTCTCGTGTTTAAGGAAAATTAGAATAAGTTCGCTCTACTAGACAGTGAAAATAGAAGAGGGACTAGCTGGGCCTATGTAGAGGTTTGATAAAACCTTCGTGGGGAAACGGGGCTCCCTGATTAAAGTGACTGGACCTATTCAAGAACCTTCCCTCTGAGTTGAGAATCATTTTAGTCCGGAGAGTAGTTTTGTCTTCTCACCCGGTCTTCTAAGGTCCTTCTTTCCCTGTTACTCGCTCACGCAGTGCATATGAAACGAAATCATCAAGATGATATTAGAATGGCCTGGAGCACATGCAGCTGTACAATGGAATTTCAAAATACCTTCTAATTATGCGAACTATTAAGGTAAGGTCCCAAGTTTAAAGTAAAGCCGGGCTTTCCAATGCCAGTTTAATTTTAAAATATCACTCCTGGCAATAGAAGGGAAAAGAAATTCAAAAGGCTCGGCTTAAGTGAATTTTTATCTCACTAGTAGCTTAATTCCAAGTCACTGAACTGACTCTATATGACAGTTTACCATATATAGAAACCATTTTCACCGCAGCTTTTGGAGACGATATAATGCCAGATTGGCCCTTTTTCTTCTTTGGGTTCAAGGAGTATTAAAGGGAAAGGTTTGATGTTTTTTTCTTTTCTTTCTTTTTTTTTTCAAATTTTGTTTTACCTATTCTTAGAACAGCGAATTTCGCATTCATCAGCTTTTTAAGGAAATTTGAAATTGAAAATCTGAAACTTGTTTCAAATACATCTGGCGACACCCTTGGCTGACATTTGCAGGAGAATGCCGTGCCGGGTGGCTAGCTAATTCCTTTTTGCGCAACAAAAACAATGTTTGACATTCCAGAAACAGTCATTTTTCACGCCCATTATTGAAAAGGTTCAGTTCACTCAGTCATAAATATGACGAAAGAAAACCTTTTAAATTACTCAGTAATAATAATAATAATCATAATAATAATCATTTTTAACAGGTTCATTGGTCCCAATTCAATATGGTGGCGGAAGAAACGCATCGCTGACGAAAAGGGGAGAACTGAATTTTACAAAAATTTTAAGATTACAGAAAAAAATCCTCTGATGAAATTGAGACGCCATTTAGATCCAATTCTTCCACTTTCTTAAGTTTAAGTTGCGTATTTCAAGTTACCTAGCTGATAGAGTAAATTCTAATTGTAATTTTAAAATAATTTTTGGCATGGACCTATTCATGACGTGCCCGTATATTGAGACATTCAAACATTCCCTTTGTTACTGTGCGGACTGAAAAGCTAATTAAACTTGTTATAGCAACCATTGTTTCTCCAAAGAAGAATGTGCAAGTCCGTTATTGTCGAGTTCCTGATTTTCATTGATGATGATTAGAACAGAATGTAAAGTTTTTTCCAGGGAAACTAATTCAAACAAATAGATAAAACGTCCGCGCTCACTGATTGGTTTTGGGCTTTTAAAAACATCAGCTTCAAGTATAAACTTAATTGTATGATGGTAAAACAAGTTATTATTTGATATTTACAACATCTGGGAAAGCATACCTTCCTTTTTCATTCCAGTGCTAAGGCATTTTTGGAATCGGCAAGAGGGGCAACGGCTTCGGTTATCCCTATCCACGGTACAGTTATTGTTTCCTCTACACGTGTATGAGGTGCTATTTCGAACAGTGCGCTTAAAGAAACTTTTACACCCTTCACATGTGCTAACGCCATAATGCTTGCCAGTGGATTTGTCTCCACAAACAGCACAATTTAGCTTTTCTTCTGTCTTGAGTTTCGGGAGTTCCACGATCGTCGAGTCGGTACAGGCAGTCATGATGTGTTGCTTTCAAGGAATACGACGCTTCTTTTAATAATCTTCGCTCATAACGCGGTTGTCTTGTCTAGTTTGAAAGCCGTGCGGCGATTTCAGCTAGCTGTATTCAATCCTGCTTGATTATTTATTCAACAATGGTCCGGCTAGGCCACATGCCCTGTTCATGTCAAATTTATTCTAAAGAGGTCGCTAAGGTTGAGCTTTTAAGCGACGCACAAAGCGTCAACCTGTTATTCTACCAGTAACCCTTTTTTTAGATAAAACACCTTATGAATCGGACTGTGTACCTCTAAGTTAGGACACCATATAATGGGGTAGATTCTAATTGACACCGAATTGTCCAATTATAAAGTTCAAAGCGTTCTTCCATTTTGCTTATTTTTTGATGGCAGAGACTTTTTGTAGTAAAAAAAAAAGGATATGTATTGCATTTTCTTCATTGTTTTTCCTAAAGAGACTAAACATTGCTATATAACTTCTCGATGGACATACTTTGTATTTGCTGACCTTGGAAATCTTTAACCCCACCATAAGTAACCCGTTACGAGAGAATTCTTTGAAGCGTATTGTTTCACTGGCAGAAAAAAGAGCATGAATTAATTAACATTTTGAAATAAGCACCGGTAGATCAAGGTCGGTATTTCCTCTTCCCTAAAATGGAACATCAGCAGCAACCAGTTAAACAGTATTTTCAGTTTAATTTGTTCTTATGATTTCAACCATATGAGTAAAATACGTTCCAATGCATGAATAGAATAAACTCACGGTAAGAGCAAATAAACTATTAACACAGGTCGACCTTTGTGTCCATTCCATGGTGTTTGTGTCAAACAATTTTTCATTCAAATATTTTAACCACAGACAAAATAGAACCCCCGTCAGCGATTATACGGCTCATAAAATCAAGGCCAGTGATAATTCAGTGTCCGCGATCGTTTGCTATGACTCGCCGCACGCCGCATTTCATACCCAAGACCCAGGCAGGATTGTTATCGACGACCTGTGATATTAAGTAACAAGTTAAGTCCTCTAGAAGATATAGTTCAGCGTTAATTACATTCTCAATTTCATTCTCTCATTATAACTGGGGCTAAACAGTTTTATATACAATCTCAATTATTTTCGTTGTTGTTCATTTCACATAGTGCGTAGCTAGTTTCTAATATCGCTTTGATGCGCCTGTTTAAAATCTGGTAAACTGTACAGTTTCGCTGAGTGTTAAGTAGTAAAATGATGATAACTAGGATCGAAAGACCTTCAAATATTGCTTTCACCACAGGCAACCCAAGAGTTGAATTGAATACTAAGTAACTAACTAATCAGCTCAAGAAGAAAGCAAGGAACAAGAGAAGCAAAAACAGACTTGAAAGTAATCTAGTTTCATTAAGAATCTTTAAGCAATTGATCAGCACAACGTTTACAATATTCATGGTTTTTCGTTACATACATGGGGTAGAGGACGGGTTGGGGGGTCAGTAGTATTGCCTGTGACAACTACGAACTGCGGCACTTCAGTGTTAACTGATTGTTCGGATAAATGAACACTACCGGGGGCTGGGCCAACGAAATTAGCTGTTCGTAGCTCACTTCGCAAAAACTGCTTCGTGTTCTGCTCCGGGTGTAAAAGAATCACATAAACTTTAGGAACGTAGAGACATCCGAGCACACCAAACGAACTCACTAGAGCGGTGGTGCATGAAACCACAGCCACATACCACCCCTCAAGGGAAGTTTTAACAGGATAGAATGAAATCCAAGAGAGGAGAAGAATATACATTGCAAACCCGATAAACCGAGCCTCGTTGAAATTTTCGGGAAGATTTCTTGCTCTGAATGCATAGAACACACAGAGAAATGACACTAATATTAGATATGTAACCATGGTGATGTCAATCGCTAGGCCAAGGGTGGTTTGGTACGGTCGACAGGTATATAAGACGTATTTTCCTTTTTCGATTTCAGTTCTTTCACTTGGCGCGTCTAGTGTCCACCACAAGATTGCAAGAATGACTTCAATCAAATTTAGCAAAATTACAGACGTAAACTGCCCGCTTGTGGTGGAGCAGACCATTTTTAACCATTTACCGACGTAGGTTACTTGAAAAACCTTAACCAGCTTCATAGTCTTTACCAAAAGGACCGAGACGCTTAAAGAAGATGTTATATACCGCCAAGGCTCAATGACAGTGCAGATCAGTCGAGACGGGCGTGAAATTGTCAAAAGAGGCAGAACAAAACCTGCTGCAATGTCAAAAAGCAGCAAGAAGCTTAATTCTCGATTGGCCGCCTTCACAACAGGGGTCCTGCGATTTTTATAATAAATCAGAGAAGTCAGGAATGTTAAAATAAGACCAACAATTGTAATTAATGTCAGGGAGATCCCTGCAATACTGTTCCATTCCAGATTTTCGATTGGAAGCGGAACGCACGTTGTCTTATTAACGTTACTCCTTTCAGTAGCCTTGCATTTGATACAGCTTTTTGATCCCACGTGAAAGCTCACTTCCCCACCCGGGCATTCAATGCACTGCCAACAGCAAGCGACACTAGGTGTTTGGCGCGTGCCGGATGGACATTGCTCACGACAAACTGATTTGGGGACCCGAGATGTGTCATTGGCAAAAGTTATGTTTTCGTAGTTCCATATAATGGCACTTTCATTAATCTCAAGTCCCGGGTTACTATTGACATCCCATTTTCCAATCTTAATTTTCACATGCTTTCCATCAGCCGTGCGATCAACGATAGCTTTTTGAAAGCTCACTATGTCGTAGGCTGCTTGAAGTGGGTCACCATAATCGTTAAATTCAACACGACCTGTTATACCTTCGAAGCTTACGTTTCGCAGGTACAAAAGTACGTCGGAAGAGCTGACAAAAGGATACTTCTGAGGGCACTTGCCGCCTGCGAGCAACCCAAAAGGTTCTTGGCAGCGGTAGATCTTGTCCAGCACATGCGCTATGGCATAGATGGCGTCCACTTGATAAGGTATAAAGTCGTCGGACATCTTCTGATATAATTCGTTTGAAATTTTCAAGTCATCCGAGCACTGTTCGTATCCAGGCGTGTTGTTATTCGAAGAACAATTGAACTCTTCTCTCCACAGAAAATCGAACCATGGGTTTCGATCCCCCTTACTCTTGTTAATTTCTGGCGTGACATTTTTCACGTAATTCTCATATTCTAAGTAATGAAACTGTCTTGGCTGGACTCCCAAATAGGTTCCAAGGCTCATCAAGTCGCTTCCCAGAAATTCAGGCGTTTTTGTTGCCAAGGAATCACTCATTATCCAGACGCGTTCCTTTAAGTTCTGTGCATGAGCTTCTTTTGTCAAGTCTGAAGCAATTGTATCACCTATCCACAAAACTACAACTTTGATATTTTCTGCCCTCTTGATCTTCTCCACGATGGGTCTTAAACGATGTTCGTATCGAGTTGGTGTAATGTACTCCACTAATCCGATACAAAACGTCTTCCGCTGAAGCGATTCGTTTTCCAGTGCTCGAAAGCCGTACAGTCCGTACGAATGTTCAACAGCTATTACCGCGATATATTCCCAACCAAAGTAGTCAATAAGATCGGCCATCGCCCGCGCTTGGAAATTATCTGGGGAAACTGTTCGAAAAAATTTCCGATAAAATGCCCAGCTCAGTTCTTCACTGGTGGCCGAAGGACTAATTGCAGGGATGCTAACGACTTGAAGAAGGCCAGCGACTTGCAAGGAGTTGCGAGATCCGTAAGGCCCTACCAAGGCCGCTATAGGTTTAACAGTGATGTCTAATTTTGAACACTGTAAGCACTCCGTACATGTGGAGTTGGCGTTTTGGTTAACGAAGTGTTCAGAATTGCCTCGCTGTAGATGGAAGTTAGTGCTAAAATCATACGTGTGTTCCATGGCTTTTCCTCTGTCATTGCAGATATCCCGTATGTCATAGCCAATAGTCACATTGGGAAGGATATTTAAATCATTGTTGATTTGCTCAATGGCAAATATAGCTGCTTCTACGCGGTTTATGCCAGGGAGAAATGTCGGACTGCAACCGGTTTCCGTAGCCTCTCGGTGCATAGTGAGGAGACCTCCGATTATCGCATCTCCGTCTTTGAACGCTCTAAAGATTTCTCCTCGTGCACTCCGAGAAGACAATCCAAAAAGACATATCACAGAGAAAAATGATCGAAAATGAGCCATTGTTGATACAGATTTCTTGGACTGTCACGTTTGTTTCGCCTTTATGTAGAAATGTTATGAAACAAGCTGAAAAAGCAAACAAAGATAGGTTATGAGATTTTCCTCCCCGTCAAATCTTATTTACTTTGCGTCTCCAATGTGGCTTGTGATTAAATATTTAAACTATGCATTACGACTTAAGTAAAATGGTAAGACCTACTACTAAAAAATGGCATGGTAATACAGTGTGTATGTTTACGCTATTTTGTAAATTAATTATAATCTGCATGTTAGTGTAGAAAGCCGGGTGTGTTTTACTTTAACTGTATTTTGACAAATGAAATTCACTATATGTTTTCTTATTTTAGTCTTTTGCGTGTAATTTAAAGCACGTTGATCAGATGCAAATCGGTAGCCATGAGAACGTTTCAGGCGGGTTCAATGTTGTCGCAAAAAGCTCTTTTTATTTTCTGAGTACCATAGGACATACAGCGAAGGTAGAGATACCCACCATGCGTCAAGTGGTCGCTTACAAGAGGTTAAAGACAACCGAAACTTATGAAACCGTCAGCTCCGAAACGAGGTCACGGTCGCTTGCAGGAGGTGGTCGTTTACGAGAGGTTCCAACTGTAAGGTTTCGAATAGGGGAAATTTTCATGTAATTTGTGCAAAATTGCAATCGAAAAAGTAAGCTAAGTGGTTTCAATAGGAAGAAAACAATTCCAAACCGCGTTTAACACACACTGAGCCCAGTTTTGAACTTGTTTAAGCCTCGGTGCGAGTAAGTGGAGCAAGATGTTTTTCAGATCAGTAACCCATTGCAAGACAGTAAGATTTACAATCAAACGCGGAATGGCCTCGGTAGTGCAAGACCCAGTCAAAGCTAATTCGTAGATCAAGGGGTAATTACACCTTTTTGTGTTCCTTCCTTCTAACGTGAATGGCCTTATCAATATCAGGGCTCCTTATAAGCAATCACTGTGTGGTAAAACAACTAAAAGACTGAATGCAATTTTTACAACTTCTACGTTTTCTGGTTGGAATTATGAAGGAAAATAGATCGATAATCGCCATGCCAAAGTAATATGGTTTCCGGCTTGAAGGCTAATAATAATATTATTATTTTTTAATCTCAGTTCTTTTCGCCCCTCTTCTCTTTAGTTCAGTTTCCGATTATTAAGCTCAATCCTATTTTTTTTTTCATTACTGTGTTCTTTAATTAAAAAAGCTATTTATATTCAATATTAGTCGGAACTCACTTCCAGACCATTAATACAAGCTCCCAAACCAAATGGATGAGACAGCTCACGAGTTTTCTTAACTTAAGAAAGTGTATTGCAAAAAGCTAGTGTGACGAGACAAAAGGAGGCGAAATATGTAATTTTAAGTTGAAATAAATAACGCTGTCAATAAGGGAGAGCGCCCCTTATGTAATAAACTAAGATTTTGAGGTAGAAGAGTTATTAAGAAGTGTTTTTGTGACAGTGCTTTTGTTACTACTAATTTAGGCTCCCTGGCAGCTTTATCTTACTAACCTTGCTCAAGGACTTTTTTGATGGGATAATTGCTTTGGAAGGATTTATAAGACATCTACGGTTTATTTCACCGACGGCTAATATAGCTTAAAATGCAGCTCCATGCCCACTCACACCAACCTTTCCAATTAGTGAGATCAGAGGTATGCTTTTTAAAATTCGATGTGTTGTGTCTTTCAATATTCAGTAAGCCTAGCCTCTCTTGATAAAGCTTAACGAAAGAAAACAAAAATTTGCATATTAATTAATAGCGCTTCGCTATACTCAGAGAGCCAATTTTATCGCACACGCGGACAGATACAAAGACAGATAAACTGAGGCCAATCAATTTTGCAATGTCTCAGAGTGGTATTTTTTTTTTCTTTACAAAAAAAGATCGTGTTTTTAAAACTGCCTCATGAGATAACTTAAGATTTGCATGCAGGTGCTCCTGTCCGATATAATTTAGCTTGCTTTATGACTAACATTTTAATGATTTTGTTTGTACCCTTGTGTTTAAAAGGAAGGGCTGTTCTGTCTCACTTGGCCAGCTTTCAGCATGACCACACGACCGCTGAAGGTTGACTGAGCTGACGGTTTATTTTCTTTCAGCGTAGCTGCTATAACATAGCATATAAAGACGGCCAACAAGGTGTTTTCATACGTATTTCTGCTCATTATCAACTTCGAAGGAGAGTGTTAGAAAACAATAAACTTACCCTAAAGGCCAAAGAAGCTGAAGTTCTAGAAGCTGTAAAAATCCTTAACTTGAGGCTTTAGTCTCACAGTACTAAGCAACCGTTTTTGGCAGGAAGTCTGAGTATTCTCAATATTGCTAAACTTTGTACAGTCGAGCTGCTAGTTGAAACACAGCTGGAAAGTTTTCTGTCAATCAACCGTACGTCAATTTACTTAATACGACAACATCTTTTATCGCTTTCGCATATGAATGCCAAAGGAAAAAATAATGCGATTCGCCTGCATCTATAGCGGCACCTCGGTTTGCTCATTTGATGAGCTTTCGTCTTGCCAAATTTGTTTTGTATTACATTGGTGCCTAATGAACTTAGAATTACTCAAAAAAAATGGCATTAAATAGAATAAATTTTATGCGAAGATGACCTTGATTTAAGAACACTTTATCGGCGTTTCTATAGTACACGGCTTCAGCCCTAATAATGGGCTTGAGAAAAATGTGGAAGCTTATTGGTCAGCCAGTGTGTCTTAATTCTGTTTCGACATTTAATGACTTTTTTTGAGTCAGTCACTATTAAGAATAATGAATAAAATACTGATTACAAATTACCTATTGCAACTTAACCCCACCACAAACTACGTGACATTACAACAAATACACCAATAACTGTACCACTGAAAAATTGCTAAATTTAAGTACAACATTTACACTATCGACAAACTAAGATAAGGAATAGTAACAAGAAACATTTTATTAACAAATCATTACCTTTAGCGTTTGATAGATCCGGGGAAATATTGAATCATAAGTTCTGATCCAGCTCGGCCAAAAGGAAGGCCTAAATTTTAAGAACACCTTAATGTGCCATTAAATCTACCACAGGCATAATTTGTCATGTCCTTTACAGCTGTAATAACACTGAAAAGAGAAAAGATTAGTCACAAGTGAATTAAACGGCAAAGAACTCAGTCGGGATAGCAAACCAATGGACAGAAATAAAAACAGGTTTTTACCGTGAAGTAACTAAGCAATGCATACAAAACTGCTTACTATATAAAACTTCGGTAGCGCGATAGATAAATAAAGGGCTCTTTCGTCGCCGTTGTCGTTGGTGGTGCTTAAAGACCCTTTTCCTTAAGGCTTTCTTCGACAAAGGTTGCTCTAATCTTCTTCTGCCACTTTTGCTGTTGTCATACAAATGAAGCTTTTAAAATTGTCGCATTTGAAGTATACGGAATAAAGAGCCCTCAAGCATTAAAAGAATTAGGATACTAATTCATGATTTCTATACGTACGTGCTTGTGAGTACGGCGAATTATATACATTTGCTGTGGGCGTATAGATTGAACTTAAAAGTGTTTCCTTCCACATTTAGAATTCTAGCTCATAAAGAGGTAAAACTTTATAGGCATTACGTCAGTTCTGACAGTGAATCAATGACATCAGTTTCTAACGCTAAATAATGACCAATAATGCACCTTGAATAACGTGGTCCATGGACTGCTTGGGATGCACGAGCCGAATGGGAAGTGTGTTATAAAGAAGTCTTTTTAACCCCACATTATTGTCAAACGTTTAGCAATGCCACCACATATACGAATAAGCGGCTCATAGTTCCATTTTTTTCTCCCTGAGGAGGCTAGAACTAACAATTCAATGATATGACTGTGAATACAAATATAGCTATGAAAACTGAGCAAGTCAGAAATAAAATCACTTTTAATTGATCTATTTTTATGTGTTCATTTTAAACCAATGGCAGTTCTCTGGATTACTGCATTACAGATTTAGGAGATAAATACTGCCAAAATACGAGAATGGCTCTCACACTAATAATAAATAAATCAATACCAAAAATTACCGTTAAAGAAATCTTTTTTTTTTCTCCGCTACAAATTTGTCTGTGATGAAGTCCAAAAAATATTTGCATTTGCTCCAACAGTTACTTTGATGTCGGTTGGATCTCACAGAGAAATGAAAACTAACAACTATTATGGTGGCTTTGCGTGATACTACACACGGTACCCAGGTTTAAGCATCCGTCACCGCGTCGTTCTGTTAGCTTCAAGATTTAACACTCAAACGAACTATTCACTAATTAATCTTCT